CACAATAGCACTTTAAATGTGTATCCAAAAACTTTACCCAAGGAAGGAGAAGATCTGTCCAATGAGAACTATAAGACTTTGAAAGAAGTTAGAGAAGACACAAACAAATACAAAGACATCCTGTGTTCATGGCTTGGAAGAAATAATAGTTAAATGGCCATGCTCCACAAAGTAACTATAGAGTCAATACAATCCCTATCAAAACGGCACTGCAATTTTTCAGAAATAGAACATGTGATCCTAAAATCTGTGAAGCACCGCACCCCTCCCCCCAATATCTAAACTGGTCATGCAAAAGCCAGAGACGTCACATTCCTTAATTTCAAACTATACTACAAAACTGTAGTAACGTAAACAATATGGTACAATCATAGAAACAGACAAGCAGAGCAGTGCAACAGGCTGGCACCCAGAAGCAGCCCCACCGCCCACCAGCATTTCACAGGGCTCAGAGAACACTCAGCAGGGCAGGGATCATCTCTACAGAAGGTGCTGGGATGATGGATGACCACATGGAGAAAACTGAAAGTGGATCCTTATCTTAGCCCTCCCCAGATGAAGCTGAAGTAGATAAAAACCTTAAACAGAAGACCTGATACCATAAAACTCCTACATGAAGACTCCTTGTTATCGGTCTTGCCAACGATATTTTTGCATATGACATCAAAGTACCAGTAACAGAAGCAAAAACTGGTACGTGGGACCACATCAAACTAAAAAGCTTCTGCATAGTGAAAGAAACTGTCTCAACAGTCACTGATAGGAAAAGGCAACCCTAACCCTAACCCTAACCCGCCAAGGGAGAGGACGCTTGCGAAACACACGGCAGGACTCGAACCGTGCAGCCACTGCCGGCCAACCCGAGGGAAAAACGCACATTCCCGCCCCTCGGGGCCTCGGGGCTGGTCTCAGCACCATCACCGCTACCTCCCGATTCCAATCCCCAGCCGGGGGGGACCCACAGGGCGCAGCAGACCCTCCGTCTCCCCGCTGTTCCCCTCAGCAGTGTATCTCGTGGATCTGCCTGTTCCGCTCCCCGCTCTGTCTCTGTTGAATCCTCTCACCGCCCCTGCACCTCTGGCCTGTGCCCATTCTGTGTGCATAAATAAATACATTTTAAATAAAGAATCAAAAAGCAGGGTAAGAGCTTCCTGACTGCGGGGCTCAAGTTCTAAACCCCAGCAAGGCTTGTGGTGAGGAAGCCCTTTCTGAGCGCCTGCATCCCAGAAGCAGGCTCTGGGTGCTGGGGGGCCCCAGCGATCAGCTCCCCATATATGGCCACAGTGGCTTAGCCCTGGCAGGTGAGTGTGGAGGTCTGCACATGGGCGGCAGGAGCAGCCCTGCCGTGCTTGTCAGGAACAGGAGGCACTGGCTGGCAAAGAGCAAAACACGGGGCCGTGACTACGGAGGGCACATGTGCCAGTCGCCAGCCGGGCTCCCTGCGCACAGCTGCTCTAGAAGCCACACCTGAGGGCGGGGCAGCAGGCTCTAGTCTCACCTGGGGGGCCCCGGCCCACACTCCCTCTCACCAGGGGGGAGCCCGGCCCAGAAGCATCACTGCTGAGGGTGTGGTTCCTGGCTCTCGCTGCCCTTCGAGGTGTCTTCTGTCGGGACGGGGAAGGGACTGTGTGGTCCCCCTCATCAGGGCATTCACCCCATTCACGAGGACACCGCCTGCGTGACCTCCTTCCCCGCAGAGCCCTACCTCCGAATGCCAGTGCCTTGGGGGCTCAGGACTTAGGTATATATATATATACCTTGGGGGACGTACACCGTAGTGACATATCACTCTTTTCTCCAGAAAAAAAAAGCCACAGGATCTGCCACCTGTCACCTGCCCCAGGGGCCTTCCAGCAAATGGCCGTCCGTGCTATTTCCCATGTATAAATATTTATGAAGTTTTCACTTGCTTTGGCATCAGAAGTGATTGATCCTTCTCCCTCTTCAATTATAAAACCTTTTCACGCGCAAGAAGCATCTGAGAAAGTGAACGAGGAGTCGTTGGGTGTTTTGCTGGTTTTCACTTCGCCGGCGGCGCCGCGCTCTGGGAGCAGTGGTACGTGACCTGTCGTGACCTCTGCATCTGGGGGGACTCTTGCACCACCGAGCCACCGGCCCAACATCCTGGAGGGGAGACCCACCACCGGCGGGGGGCAGGGATTTTCACTGTCTTCCCCCATGATCTAAATCGTGGCTACTGCACGGAGCCTCCCCGGCTCGGGAACACGAGAACCAGCCACACAGCGGCGCTAAAGCAGATGGGGCTCCCATGGGCACCGGAGCCCACCTGGTCACCTCAGGTCGTTCCCAGGGCTGCACTGATGCCCACCACACGTCCCGCTGTTCCTGTGGCGTCTGCATGTTCATCCAGCCACCCCTCCACCCACTCATTCGAGGAGCTTTAGATAAGTGCCTGTGTGGGGACTGGATGATAAACGTGACCAGCGAATTGAAGACACCAGCCTCATGCCTGCCTCCACTGGGGTTGCGCTACCTCCCACACCCCCTAGGAGCTGCGGGTGTGAGGAAGACAAAGACTGAATGTGATGTCATCTCTCCCTAAGCACCTTGAAAGCAGAAACAGCAGCTGTGTTCTCAGAAACCACACTGCAGGCACCCAGCACAGGTTTAATGGGTGTATGGGTGGGTGGACGATGAGTAACTGCATGGATGGATGGACGGACGGACGGACGGACGGACAAAGATGGTGGGTGGATGGATGGATGGATGAATGGATGGATGGATGGGTGGGTGGGTGGATGGACGGATGGACGGATGGACAGACAAAGATGGGTGGGTGGGTGGATGGATGGATGGACGGATGGATGAATGGGTGGATGGATGGGTGGGTGGGTGGATGGACGGATGGACGGACGGACAGACAAAGATGGGTGGGTGGGTGGATGGATGGATGGACGGATGGATGAATGGGTGGATGGATGGGTGGGTGGGTGGATGGACGGATGGACGGACGGACAGACGAAGATGGGTGGGTGGGTGGATGGATGGATGGATGAATGGGTGGATGGATGGGTGGGTGGGTAGATGGACGGACGGATGGACGGGTGATGGATGGGTGGGTGGAAGAAAGTAATAAGAGAGTGTGCTGTGAAGTCCATGCACAGCGCTGTTCCGGCAATTTATATGCAAAGGTGGAATTGATGACTGAGTCCTGTGACTAACACTCAAAAACTTGGCCTCCGAGAATGTTTCCTGAATCCACATTTAAGAAATGATGACGTAATATGATGAATTATCTCGTGTTCCCTCCTTACATTATTGCTGCTTAAATGCTTGCTCGTCTCCAAAAAGAACACGAAATCTGTAACTTGTAAGCCAAGGAATCTGGATTTGGTCCTTGCAAGCCTGTCAAGCACTGGGGTTTTGTCCTAGGAAGGGAGACATTTCCTTTCCTCCCGAGACCCTCCCACACCCCCTTGTTTCATGGCCTCTAAATCTAGAACACGACGGCGCTGAGAGAACAGAGAAGGGAAACGCCCGTATTTAAGCACCCAGAAACTTCACTGTGTTACATCAACAACGTTTCGATGACACTAACAAATTCACTTACTGCTGGTTTTACCATTTTTCCTAAGGAATGCAGGGATTCGTGACAGAAAACCCAGGCTCTTGAGTATTACATAAAAGTAGTCTCGAATTTTTAACATGGCACAAAGCTTCCTCATCCTGCTCAGATTTCTTACTTAAACATCCATTATGACATGAGTCATCCACATATGATTTATTTGGACTTAAACACTCCAATTTTTATGAAGAAATGGCAAAGACTTCATCATATTTCACAGATTACAAATGCCTTCTTTCTAGACTAGAATGAAAGGATTCTGCAGCAGAGATCAATTTTAGTTTTGTCAAAAATGTAGTAATTGGGCGTCTCCAAATGCAATGACCCTCAGTTGGCCACACACCACGGGTGTCTCCCCAACAGCGGTGCCTCGCGCTGACGGCTCTGTTGCGGGGCACCACCTCTGGGCCACTGGGGCAGCAGAGAACAAACACTCACCTGGGAAGGGCAGAGCTGCAGTCCCGACCAGTACCGCCCCTTGACCTCACGCGGCCAGCAGGGTCAAGAGGACGCTGTCCTGCCACCCCGCGGCCCCCAGGATCATACCCCAGGATCATACACGTCTCTGCGGGACGTGCAGGCCAGCCAGCCTGGGCCCAGGGCTGAGTCCAGACGTCTGCCGCGTCCGTCCCGCCCCCTTCCGGGCCGCCTTCACACTCAGCACCGACGCGGAGGGGTGCAGCTCCCGAGCCGGTGAGGATGGAGCATGGGTGTGGGCTGGCCTGCCCGCTAAGTCCGCGGCAGCTTTCATTCCGCTGTCCATGGAGGGGAAAGGGCGTCGAGGACCCACGTTTTTTAACATGTTCTCACAGCGTCGCGAGGCAGGGACGTGCCGAGGGGCTGAGCCGGGTCTGGCTTGCTGCTGGGCTTGTGCTTGCCAGCCGGGCTGTGGGCGGGGTGAAAGGGGCTCGTCCCGGAGAGGCGAAGCGCGCCCCTCCTGTGGCGCGGGGCGCCCACGTGGCGAGAGGTTCTGTAGCGTCTGCTCATTAGAAGGAAGGGAACGTAATTTCCAGGACACGCCGGGGCCGAGCGGGACTCTCCTCACCAGCGGTGGACGGGCGGGGCCAGGAGAGGCTTCGCAAAAGACAGGGCTAGGCAGCACGGCACGTGCGGGGCAGCGTCCAGCTGGCCGAGGGCCGGCCACACCACGCAGGGGCCGGCGAGCCCCAAGGCAACCAGAGAGGATGGAACGACGGAGCCGACGGAGCTTCGGAGGCCAGGAACTCACCGGCCAGTCGGTGCAAGGGCGCGGTCAGCTTCTCAGCTTCCCGACTGGCCCTGAGGCAGCAGGGTGGACAGCGGGCCTCCAGCGCTGGGGGGATGGGGCTGGGGGTGTCCGAGCCAACTGTAGGTGAGCCCGAGGCCGCCAGTGTCCCGGGACTCCGAAGTCTGAGGCTGCCCCGTCCAGACGCACCTTATAATTGCGAGTCACTGACCTCTCTCTGGCGGCGGCTGCCCCACCGCTAGCAAGGAGCAGCCGAGGGGGCAGTGGGTCCGCCTGCACCCCAGGACCCGGCCGGTGACGCTCTGCACCAGGAAGGCCACAGTGACCTCGGACTTCCATCTTCCGACCGGACAGCGGGAGGCCCACAGGCCTCCACCCGCCGCCCCTCAGGGCCGCACGTTCCGCTGACCAGCGCGGCAGCCTCACCTCTGCGCCACTCCTCTCGCCAACACAGGCCCGTCGTGGCTCGGGAGCAGAGGCTCGGCGCTCTGTCGCTGGGAGCAGCCGGCCGGCGGCATGTCCAGCGAGCTGGCCGCTCAGCAGGCCGCCCCCACCGCTGCTTCAGCAGGGAGGCGCGCCCACACTCTGACACCTCTTCCGGGGGCCACGAAACCTCGCGTCCCATCAGCAGGTTTCAGCGAGTACCAGCACCTACACCCACGCTGCGGCCAGCGAATCATCACGTCCCTGGATCGCTTCCTCGCGCCGCCACGCGGCCCTGAGCACGGCACCGCATCGCACAGCAGGAGACAGACGCGGCGAGCGGCCTGGCTGCGCTGGCCAGAGGCCGCCCGGTCACGGGTACGGGCAGGCTGACCCCGGGCTGGGCCCAGCCCCCCGGCCTTGCCAGGGGTGCAGCCACGGCCATCGCTCGCTTTACCGCCGGAGCTTCCCCGGAGCCGCACGACGGGGCGGTGGCCCAGGCTAGCGGTGCGCTGGGGTGTCCTGCAGCAGGGCACGGAGGGCAGTGCCCGGCGAGGCCCCCCACCGAGTGGGTGTCCCTGGCCGGTCGGCTCTTCTCCTGCCTGCCCTTCTCGAGCGCTCCCCGACTGTGAGGGAAATGGAGTGAAAAACACATCGCAGGGTGCAAATGAAATACCAAGGGCCCTTTGCCGCTGGGAGGACTCGGTGGGTGGTTCTGACCTCCCCTCTAGTTCTCTCTAAAGGCCAGAACAGCCGGGCAGGCCGGCCCTGCCTCGCGGGGCTCAGCCTGCGGGAGCCGGGGCCCCGGCGGCCGCGCCCTACGCTCTGCATGCCACCAGCCCACGTGGCTGACGACTACTGGGAGGGCTGAGAGGGGCGTGCGCCTCACCATCGCTGGTGCTGGCGTGGGGCTGGCGCGGGCGGGGGCAGCGTCACCCCCTCGCCCCCCGCGAAGAGTCTCCACCTCTCAGGGAGGCGGGCGTCTGGCTCAAGTCCTAACACCCCGGAACGTCATCACCTGAGGCTCTCCCAGGCCTCACCCACCATCGGATTCACCCAGCACCGTGCGCCGGAGCCCTGCAGAGCCGGTGACGTTGATCCAAGGACGAGGCCCGTCACCCTCACGGGAGCGCGTGGTCTTGTGTAGACAAAACACAGCTCCCTGGAGCTCCCGCACACGCAGTCACGCAGCCGCCCCTGCGCTGGCCACGTCCAGGAGGGCGCGGAACTCCGGCTCTGTGGGGCAGAGGCGAGTCAGAGCTCACGTGTCTCCCAAGAAATTCCGTCCCGTACGGCAACGGCGCTGAGTGGGGCTGGGCGCCTCGCTCAGAGCTGGGCAGCCCGGTCAGGGAACCACCGGTCTGTGTCCATTACGTACCGACCTTCAGTTTTCTTGGGTGTCTAGGACACATCTTTTATTTTATCTTTACTACTTTATTAGAAACGATCAGCGCCTGGGCACTGGCATTTAGGAGACGGGAATCCACGAGACGGCTAGGGAAGACGCACCAGAACCTGGCAATAGGATGGGACGCGGACGCTGTGGCCTCCGCGGCGGACCAGAGCCTCCCTCCTGCCTGGGCCCCCCCGGGGGTGCGGGCTGGGCTCGCAGGACCACGCCGTGGTGCCCCAGGCTGCTGTGACCCAGCCAGGGATGGCGCGGCCCGCTCACCCGGGATATCTGCCGTGCTGCTGCGCTGAGTTGCAGTCACGATCGACTCGGGACTGGATTCTGTAAAGCTAGATGTACGGTGGTGGTTTCTGTCAGGGGAAGAGACAGCCCTGGCCTTGCAGCTTTATGGCCCTGAAGGATGTGAAGCGTCACCTAACCAGCACCCTGATCTCTCCTCAGTCGCCCCTTTGAGGCGACTCTGTCACCTGTTCGTTCCCTCATCATGGTCGCGGGGACCTTGCGCAGACGATCAAGACACTTCAGAGCAGGGCAAACGCCTGCCATCTGGTCTGTGGAGGAGAAATGCGCTCAGAGTTCATCCTGTCGCTGCTCTGTCCCGCCTGAGACCAGGAGGCCCAGCCCAGCCATGCGGCCCGCCGCGGAGCCGGGGGTCCGTGCCCAGGCCTCCGGTGAGACCCGCGCCCGGCATCCATCCTTGCAAAGCACATGAACAACCCGCTGGAAACAAACCCATTTTTCGTCTCCAGGTCCACCTGGGCTTCAACCTGACACAGCGCTCTTTCAATTCTATTTTTCTTTAAACCCCACCAAATTTCATGTGCATTTGTGAATATACGGTTACTGTCAAATTCCTGGTGATGTATTCACATTCCAAGCTCCCGGCTGTGATGGAAGAGAGCTTGCTTTTCAAGAGGGGAAGAAACGGCTTTGCCAGTATATCAAAACGATGTCCCGGCTTAGCAGCACGTATCTGGTATCACAGAGGCAGGCGTGGGCTGGAGGGACCGGCCCAGACACCCCGCAGTCTTCCTTCCTCTCCCTCGGGTGCTCTCCTGCCCCAGGAGAGCTGCGGAGGCCGTCACGACCCCCTCGGCAGGTGGAGGGCCGCTCTCAGTCGCCATGTGGAGGCTGGGGGCTCTTCTCTCCAGAGTCCAGCAAAATGCAAGGAAGAGTGGCTTCAAAGACCTAGAGGCTGCCAACGAGGACAGGCAAGAAAGGACCAGTCTCTGAGCACTGCTCCCCGAATGCCACGCGTGGTGCCCGAGGTCACAGCTGCCCGGCTTGGGTCCTCCCGGGCACCAGGTGCCACCGCTCTCCTGCGCGACGGCCCTTCACGATCAGCGTCACGTGACCAGCCTCTCTGGCTTGCGCCCTGGTGCCGGGGGCCATGTCCGCGGAGCGCCTGAGTGGCCAGGGAGGGTGCCTGCGAGTCCTGTCCGGGCCCACCTCCCACGGACCCCCCTGCAGCCGGAAGCCCCACCCCATGGCTGTGACCAGCGACATGGGTCTCTCGGGAACGGGAAGCGGGACGGCCTGGCCAGGAACCAGCGCGCGCGTCCTGGTGACACCCTGGACACGCGCAGATATGAATTCCTTGTCATTAAATCACAGGGAAATACTTGAGCTTATAAGTGAAATAAAAAAAAAAAAAAAACACACACACACTGTGAAGTTTCCCTCCATGTCAGTGACACCCTCGATCATGGACAGGAGAACGTGTTTGGATCTATCTGCTGTCCCCTCTCAGGGCGACTGAGCCCAGACCTGGACCTGACACAGCAGCTACGCTCTGCCGACCAGCATGGGGGACGGTGCAATTAGAGCCAGGTGCCTGGCCAAGCAGCTGGCTTAGCGCTCTCTGGAGCAAAGGAGAGGGAACCAGGAACCGTCCGAGGGCCAAGGCGCCGCCGCCCTCCTTGTGGGGTTGACCCGGACCCTGGGCAGAGACCCGCTTGGTGCTGGCTCAGCCATGGTGCAATTCACAGGGGGCCGCCAGGGAGCAGCACGGCAGCCTCCACACCTGCAATGGACAAGTGGACCTTTGCCTGGCGGGTGAGCAGCGGAGGCCCCCCGCAGCTGAGCCCCCCACCAGCGGAGCCGCAGCTGAGCCCTCCAGCTGAGCCTCCCCCTCACCAAGGAACCAGCTCACAGGGCGCTGCAGCTCGGTGCACCATGCGATCTTTTGCCTTATGTCAAGATCTGTAGAAAAATAAACAGGGCAGGCCGTAATCGTGGCTTAATTTGCTTCCAGTTAATTGATTCCAGGTTTTGGCCTATCTGGTCGTCGCCACTTGTACCTTGCTTGGGCCGCCCTGAGGCTACGAAGCTGTAATTTTGCACCCGCTAATGACACTACGAAGTCCGCGATCGGCCCTCTTCACTCGGCTGGTCCCACCCTGTAATACCAGGGCTGGAGCCCTCCCTCTCCCGCAAGGGCTTCGTTCTTCTTCTCTTTCTCTCTCTCTTTTAACCAGAGGAAAATAAAGGTCACTTTCCAGCCAGAGTAATTGCTAGAGTGGAGAGAAAGTATTTTTAAAAACTTTCTTTCAAAATTACAGATTTAAGAGGACAATGAAAGTAAAATTGCAGCTGAACTTGAAAGCAAAACCTTCAACTAAAAATAACAAGCCGCTCGCAACATGCAATTTGGCGGGGACCGACAGGCAAGAGCGCGTCGCTCCACAGAGCGCCCGTCGCCTCTGGCGTGTGCACAGAGCCGCTGGCTCCCGCCCTACGAGGTCCCCTCACGCGGGTCTCGGATGTGCTGTTCCTCCAGGGGTCAAACTGAGAGTCAGCTGTCAAGCAAGTGAGCAGGAAACCAAGGTCCATTCCAGGCCTTTCTCCATGTCCTACTGTTGCTGACGGTCAACAGGTCAACGGTGCAGACGCTTTTCTTGGTTCCTGCGGTGCCTTGGTTAATACCCGCGTTCCCAAGGCTTAGGCACAGGTACCGTTCTCTGGCACGTCGCTAGCTGACCTCCTTCGTAAAAGGTCAGCTATCCCGCACACCTCATTTTAATCAGGCGAGATGTTAGCAAGGAGGACGGAGGGGCGGGGCTCTGGTGGCCAGGCTGCTAACGTGCCCAGCAAGACCACGCAAATGCTTATTTCTAAGCTGAACGTTTACTTGATGCCAAACAGGAGTGCGAATTTTATTTAATCGACAGGCGTCACAGTGGTGATTTTCTGTAAGGAATTAGAACATTCCTTCTTTGATATGTGTATTGATGTTACCAGCCAGTCTACCGACATCTATTCCAAAGAAACACCGTTTGAGGGAGAAAGAAAATACCGCTGTTCAGTGGTAACGAAAGTCATCTTTAAGGTAAATACTGCAACAGACGTTTTAACTTTATTTTATAAAAAGCAAGTATAGTGGAATTCCTGCATGGAATGTAGGTGCTTCAGCCAAGACAAATTATGTGTTACGGATTTCAGACGTTCCTTTTTGAACAAATAGAGAAGCCTAACCCCGCGGAAACACAGAAGTCAGTGAGAAAAATGATTCAGGCCTAAACTCTATCAAAGCATCAAATGCCACTTCACCGAAGAACCATTCACTTTTCAGACAGGAGACCCCGTTTCACAAGCACGCCCTGAATGCCCTTTACCCATCCGACAGTGTCTGACCCGCCTTCTCCCCAGGTACCAATTCCTTCCCCTCCCACAGCCCCTGGGCGTCTGGCTGAGGGGCAGGCGGTGGGTGGGAGCGAGCCCTGCGGGGGTGGGGGGTGCCGGGGAGCCCCTCCTGACAAGACTTCCCTTCTGTGGGAGGGGCGCTCTTGGACCAGTGGGGCAGCTGGGATTTGTTTCTGGGACCTGAGCCGCCTTGCTGACGCCCTCAGGAGCGAGGGGCCCCTAAAACAAGATCTTCGCTGGGGAAGCAGACCCCGGCCAGCGGGGCAGGAGGTTCGGCTGCCCCCTCTAGCCCTGTGCCAGCTTCTTCCTCCCACTGCGGAGGCTGGAAACGCTCAGCTTCTAGCCCCTGCGACCCGGTCGCCCTTTTTGAAATTGTTAGACGCGGTGGGGTGAAGGGGTGCTGGAGGCTGGTTTCCATGAGGCCTCTTGGGGCTCCTTCCCTCCCTCGGGAAAGCCTCCAGTGGCGGTCCTGTCTTCATGGAGATGCCCCAAGGCGGGTCCAGCGGCCTGCCTCGTTTGCCCAAGGCCGGGCAGGTCGGGCTCCTGCACCTGGGCTGAGACTGTCTGGGCTCCTGTGGTCACTGCTCTGTCGCGGGACCAGCTTTCAGCCGTGGCATCCAGAGCAGGGAAGCGTGGGCTGTGCTCAGGTGTGACTGAGGATTCCAGGATGCTGACAGCAGAGCCTGGTGCCCTGGGGCCCCTGCGGCGCATCGCCTGACGCCCGGGAAGCTGCCGCCCTGGGCTGAGTGGGATCCGGTCAGCAGCTCTTTTCTGTCAGGGCCAGAGAGCAAACAGTTCAGTGAGGCTGTCACGTGTGCCCAACTGCCCCGGGGTGTCGAAGCAGCCACAGATAATCCAGAAGTCAACGGGCTTGGCTGTGTCAACAGACCTTTACTTACAACTTGAGGTGGTTCTGGCCCAGGGGTCCGCCTGCTGGCCAGTGACCCAGACCAGAAGCTCCTAAACTTCAGATGTGCAAGGATGCTGAGGCGCTTGTGAACCCACAGCCCTGGGGATCCGGCCTGGTTTTACATTTTTGTTTTTTGTACAGTAGACACTGTTGGGTGCAGGTGGGATGCCCAGAGTGGCCGCCCCAAAGCACCGGTGGTGTCCAGTTGCTGACTGTAGCCAGCTAGCCAGGCCACCCCCAGATGCACCCTGGGGCTCATTCATGCCTGACGTGCATGGCTGCAGGGTGGGGCCCGTGGCCCCTCTCTGACCTGCAGTGCCCTGCCCGGAAGCCCCCTCGGGGTCCGCCACAGAGTCCACCCTGCGAGGCAGAGACTGGACCTGCTCTGTCCAGCACCTGTGACCACGCCAGCACTGAGCCGATGTGGCTGGACCGCCACGCATCGGGGGGCTCCGGCAGGCACCAGCGCCCAGCGCCCAGGAACAGGCCCTGCTCTTCCGGCCCGGCCCCTTCTCGACGTCCCTGGCATAGGCTACTGAACACAGGTTGTAAACAAGTGTTGCCCACTCACTCGTGACTGTATCGTCCCCAGGTTCACACCCCAGCACCGCTGCTCTAACCAGCCTTCTTTTCCTCTCCATTAATCTTTGCCCCTTCTACTGATGAGACAAGCCCGCACTCCTGAGGACCCCTGTTCTCAGTGGATTAGGCAGGACACCCCCATCCACAGTCACGAAAATCAAGCTTGCCCAGAAGAACCCACTTCCTGGCCGCAGTGCTGGGCTCAGGGCGGACAGGTGAGGCAGGTGAGCCCAGGAGACGCCAGCAGGAGATACCTGCTTGACTGCAGGCTCCCCGGAAAGGTGGCGCCTTTCACCAGCGGCCCCAGGGGGCTGTGCACGCTGCTGGCTTCTTGTCCTCCACTGCAGGAGCCCCAGACCAGACAGGGCCCCGGTCACCTGCTCAGCCCTTGGGTCCAGCCAGCCCTGAAGCAAACTCTCCCTTGCGTCCCGGTTCTGTGGGGCAAAGGCTCCTTGGCCTGTTCTCTGGCACTCTGGGTGGGCTTCCTGTCACTGGCAGCCAGAAGAATTCTGACAATACAGGAACAAAACAGTCAAACAGCGCTGTATCTTCTGGGTCACCTTCATTCCTCTTGACTAATTTGTTAGTCACAAGACCCAGGGGGTGGCTAAGGGTCTGGCACCCTGTTAGTGATGGCGCAGAACCTGACGTCCAGGGACACCCCGTCCACTGACGTGTTGCCATTTCTAGAGGCTCCGCTCAGAGCATGCCGACCCCGGTCAGGGCCTGTCCTCAACCGAGAGTCCTTTCCAGGGGCGGACCCGTCGTCAGCCTGGGTGAAGTTCAGACTTCCACATTTTCCCAAGGACAGACGGCGCCCA